GGGCAGGTGGAACACAGCGACTTCCTAGAATTGTGGGAAAAGCATTAGCAAAGGAACTCATATTCACTGGCAGGAAGATTGGTGGCAGAGAAGCAATGTCGATTGGTATGTCTACTCCAAAGCTTTGATTTGGTCTTTTGTTTTGTTTTTCTTTTTTTATTTCTTTTGACGTGAGATTGTACCTTACTGCAGGTCTGGTAAATTACTGTGTTCCTGATGGTGAAGCTCATCTAAAGGCACTTGAAATTGCTCGCAATATAAATGAGAAGGTATGAAATTATGTGATCCACTAGAGCTTCACTGAGATTTTATTTTATTTCACTTTTCTATTTTCTAGTCGATGGGGGAAGATTGTAGTTGAGAGCAATCTAAAAATGAAATCTACACTCCAAAATCTCTATCAAAGTCGATGTCTATAGCTGAAACTTCTTTATCACGTGAAAACTGAACAATTGCCTCTTTCGTTTTAATGACCAAATTGTAATAGGTGCACTGAAAAGAAAATCCTGACTGTAGAAACTAATTTCAACTTGAAATTTTCATATTCGGCAAAGAAAGAAAAAAGTTACAAGTAATGGTTGCAATCAAATTTATGAAATATAGTTTTAGCAGGGTCCCATAGCACTAAGGATGGCAAAAAAAGCTATTGACGAGGGACTGGAGGTGCATAAAACCTCATCTTTGGCACTAGAAGAAGAATGCTATGAACAAACCTTGAACACAAACGATCGCTTGGAAGCCCTAGCAGCATTTGCTGAGAAGCGCAAGCCAAGGTATACCGGAGATTAAGATGATAAAATTGCAGTAAATCTGTCTTGGATGAGTTTATTTGCGTTATGGAAATAAAGTTACTTGTCAGCAATGAGAAAATGACTGGTTCGTAGAGGCCCTAATTTTATATGTGATCATAATTTACCCTTATCTCTATATTTGAATGAATTTAGAGGTCGATGAAATGTTTTTCATGGGTTCATGAGAAATTACTTGCATACGGAATTATCGAACATGTTTATTAAGGAGTCAATTAAATTCACTCTTCAAGTCCTTTCTTTTTGACATTTGATGACAAAGTGGTGAATCTATTCACTGAAACTATTCACAATGACAGAGGGTGGTTGTTTTCGATGCAAAAAGTTTGTGCTAGAAGTCGACCCCTTTAAGTTAAGCTTATTGGAGATTCATGCTTGAAATCAATGGCAAAAATCATTTTAACCATCCAAGACCAACATTTCGTCGCGTAAGACCTACAGCGACAGATTGCTGCTTTTCGATATCCTTATAATTGAATTAGGAGTGGCGCTATTTCTACCCACCAGTCCTAATTCTCCACCCATTTTAAAAGCTTTTTTAACAACTTTCATCTTATATAAAATTACTAACGAGGACCACTCCTTTGTTGGGTACTACACACCTCACACTAGAACACAAAAACGAAAAGTATTGAAACATAGTTCCAGCCATTTTACACTTCCTATACAAATTTATAGAAATCAAACTGAAACAATGGATGAACTTCCAACCACTACATTGAATTGTGTATCGAAAAGAATATTTGAGACAGTATACATTACAAGAGATGAATATTTGCAAGCATATTGTTAAGAACATCGAAATTGTGAAATGCTGATAATCATTGCAACTCAACCAAAAGGAATCTGATGGTAAGATTCGTGGAAATTTCCAGTTACACCCCACCATATCATTCCTAAAAAAATCCAACATTATGTTTTGCATTCATTGATTTAGTAAGATTTAGAATATTAACAGAAAATTGGGTAAATTTCTCCAATTTTGATTTAACAAATACTGTTGATTTTTTTTTAATGACAACTTCGATTATAATAAAATTGAAAATTTAGTCAATTAAATTTGTGCAATAAATAAAACATAAAATATATATCATTCCTGGGTTTGTGATGGCGGTTAAGATCAGATAGTTATTGTCAAGTCTCGGATCTTGTCACAACCCCCAAATAATGGCCCTAAACCTTTCAATTGTTTGGCAAATACCTTTGAATCTTTGTGGCTGCCATCATGGTTATTGTAGTTTTCCCCGAGCCATTTTACTATGCTTTCTCCCTGTTGATTCACATATTCTTATGGAAGAAGAGCTCATAAATACCAAAGCTACAAAGAAATATAAAACATCATATATTACATGGAACAGAGCATGTATGGCAACAAAAAGTTTTGTTGCAAAAGGTTTTATGCGATGAAAGTTAAGGATGTAATGTAACAACCTAAGGTCACATCTAAAAGTGCTTGTTGAAGTTGACTTTTGGACTCTCCACCTTAGGTAAGGCCACATGATCTCCCCAACTATTTACCATCGTGCATGGATGGTGGCGCCTCTTCCCTCATCGTCAAGGAACTGTCATGATAGCCATGGCCCATGAGTCCCACACAGGCAATGTGCTCTGATACCATTTGTAACGACCCAAGCATCATCCAAAAGTGCTAGCTGAAGGTCACTTTTGGATTCCTAGACCTTACTTTAGGTACCCAGGATCTCCCCAATGCTTTATCAATATGGGATTCAGGGTTTCACAACGGGGAACTTCAAGATTCTGTTGTACAACTAATACGGTGACACCCTCATTCAGTCCAAGGGATGAAAGCATCCCTACAAACTTGCCCCAAGACTT